TCGGAGCGGCGCCGGGGGCCGGCGCGCCCGGCTCGCAGCCTCACATCGTCTTCATCCTGGCCGACGATCAGGGATTCAGAGACGTAGGGTACCACGGATCGGAGATCAGGACACCCACTCTGGACAAGCTAGCTGCCGAAGGGGTTAAACTGGAGAACTACTATGTTCAGCCTATGTGCACACCATCCCGAAGCCAATTTATCACTGGAAAGTAAGTTCGCTACTTCGTCATTGAAATCGCCAGTTTAAAGACTGTCCCTGTTGAAAGGAGCGCAGGTCTCTGGGGATGAACCTGGTTAGATGCACCCCTCTGCTCCTGTAGCCAGAAAGGTGCCTCTCTGATTCGCTTAAAAGCCTTAAGCAAAATGCACTTTCCAAAGTGCATTTCTCAATAATGCAGTAGGAACTCACTCACTGTGAGCCAGGAAGAATTCAGGACTGTGAACTACCCTGCCAGAGTATTATAGGAATAGATTTACATTTATTGCAGTACTAACATACGTGCTAGCTGTCAAGTAATGCTGCTGTTACTGGGAAGAGATCATCTGAGATTTGCTTTGCAATTGCAGAAGTTGCAGGGAAAATCCTTGTTAGTGAAGTGAAGGGGAAATGTTTTCTCCTATAAATTGCTGTATGCACGTTGCAATGCTGGACACTCTGAACCTTGACTTGCTACAAGTTTTTTTCTGAGGATTATATTGAATTGAGTGATGATTCCACTGCAAGTGAGGTGTGGATGAGTTCAGGAAATCTGAATTCTTTTTCAGGTTCCTCAGAACTACAGTTATCTCTTTTGTCAGAGTGTAATTGTTACTTTGCAAACAATTAGAAACTTTCCTTTCAAGCCACTAAAATACTTGCTTCATTAAAAACAACCAACGGGTTGCTGTTGTATTGTTTGCTGTCTCTGGTCAGTTGTGTTTTGTTGTTATGCTTTAAGTGGATAAGCTATTACCCAACCTAAGGGCCTTCTGTGAAAGTTGATAAGGATCAAGAGTTGGAGGTTGGATCAAGAGTTCTGCCTGCATTTGAACGGCAGGAACAGTTCCCAAGTGACCCCAAGGGTGGACGCATCGATCTGGGAAAAAAACACCTCGTTTCTGTTTATCTTAACTCACTTCAACAGGAACAGGAAAATCTTAAAAGGACAAAACAAAATGAGAGGAAAAAGAATTATTTAGCTTATTTTCCCTTTTAAGTGTAAATAGGAACAAGGCAACCTTAATACTGCTAGTAAAAGAAGCACGTGATTAAATAAAACAAGCAACTGGCCTGGTGTCTTGCATCTCCTTTTGGTAGAGACGTGATTCCTGGTCTCAGTCTAGTCCTCAGACTTTCTGGACCTGGGAAATTGGCCCAGAGAGCTGACGTTATCTAGAACAACAGTCCTCACGTTGTATTTTCCTGGTGCGGACTGAGAAATTTGTTTTGGAACACTCTTTTGCAAGAACATACGTGCCCTGTGGCAGCTGAAGTAATGGCTTAAAAGGGCACCTTATATGTTAGGATAGCATTTATGCGTTGTAGCTGCCTTCAAAGCCCGGCAGTGGCTGGAGGCAAGGAGCAAGGCCAGCAGCAGCAGGTAGCCAGCCAGCTCCCTGCGGGCGGTGGTTGGGAGCCGGCGCCGCGCGCGGGAACGTCGCGCCGCACACGGGAGCGTCGCGGGGCCGGCGGGTTCCAGGGGAGCCAGGGGGCTGGACCCCCTGCCGGCGGCCGGGGGAGTCGCCTGAGCGCTAAAAAGAGTGAAATAAGTAAGGAATAAAAGCAACCCAGTTGACCTATTTTAATCCTTCACTAAATATGGAACATTTTACATATGTAAATATACATATATATGTAAGAAAAAAACAGACATGTTCTTAGGAACCTAGCTCTTTTCATCTGCTCACTGGGAGGAAATAATTATGAAAATCTGCCTACTTTGTTTCTGGAACATTTTTATTGGAAAAAAAAAGAAGTTTGCTTATCCTGCATTTTTATTTTCTTAACATCTGCTGGTCTAAAACCATTAGAACATTTTTTTCCTGTTCTGCTTTGGGAAAGGGAGCAGCAGAGGGAAAGGACTGCTTTGCATGACTGAGAAATAAAGGAAGGAAATGGTGAGGGTTTAATAAGTCTGGGTAGAATATTAACAAGGCAGATGCAGAAGGATACTATTATCTCTTCTTCTGGCTGAAGATACAAACTGGTGATCACTACTTTTAATGCTTTCATACTAGAAGTACCACAATTAAAGCGCCAGGATTCAAAAACTGTTAATCCACTGGAAGTGCTGATAATTTTTGAATTCCAAGGCATGTTAGTTCAGGGCTAGAAAGCCCTGCTCGCCTGCTGAAGGCCCACCTGGGATGCTACATGCTTCCCAGGACGCATACCATGCTTAATATGTTCCAAACGCTGCCCCAGTGATCTATAAAAAAACAGAGAAACTTGTGTAAATTGGAGCCATTAGGGAGCACTGACTCACGTTGCCAAACGAAAGTTAGACTTCAGGCAAAGAGACTTTGAATGTTCTGCATTTTTTGTAGGTCTCCAGGCAGTTCCTTTAGGATTTGTGCTAGTAGAGAGATCCTTCTTCTGGTAGTTCTCCTATGCAAGAGAGCAAACGAAGGGCAGGAGAGAGTGTTAGGGGAAAGTGTCAGGGTTGCTTGTTTTGTTGTTTCTTTTTTTCCCTTCATGCTATACCATGGCATAAGAGCTGGCAAGCCTGTCTGTGGCCATTTCTGCTCCCCCTTGTCTGCTTTCTCATGTCCTGCTCTTCATGTTTTGGCCACCCTTCTCTTCTTGCTTTGCATTAGTTTCCACCCTCATTACCTATTTTCCCATTCACTTTGTCAAAAACTTCTAAGCTAATAGTACGGCTCAGGCTATTTTTATTTATCTCTTTGTTTTATTTTTTAACCTTGGCCTTTAGTTTTGGGTGCGAGGAAGGGGACACGGCCGAGCGGGATCTCGGGAGCGGGAGGAAAGGCAGCGCCAGTGGGCCCCTGCGCTGCGGGAGCCGGGGCTGCCGGCCTCCCCGCAGGGCTCCGCGCCTGCCCAGGGAGCTGCCCTCTCCCTGCTCGCTGGAGACCTGCCGCTGCTCTCTCTTCTGTGCGCGTTTGAGCCAGGGCTGCTCACAGGTGGGGTTGGTGCATTGGCAAAAAGACTGAAAGCAGGTTTGTTTACTTCCCCCCCTCCGCCCCCTTCCCATGGGAGCACAGGCTGTTGCTCCTCCGAAAGAGGTCCAAGGCATCGTGTGGTACAGTATTCTTTTAAATCTTAAAGTATTCTTTTAAATTTTCTCCTTAAGAGTCTTGATAAGCAAGTCTTGATAAACTAAATCCCTTAATCAGAATAGTTCAGGATACCTAGCTTTAGACTACTACTGAGAGAAAAGCTAGCTTTTAATCTGGTTTACACAGAAGAACATAAAGAGAGTGGTGATGCTTAAGGTTTGGTGAGGCTTAAGGTTTGCTTGGTCAGTACCAGTGTCTTAGGCTTAAGGTTTGCTTGGTCAGTACCAGTTTGAGAGTGGCTGGAATCAGATGATGGGAAAAGCAACGTGCTCTCAGTGTCCCTGCTGGAGCAGGGGGATTGGACTAGGTGATCTCTAGAGGCCCCTTCCAACCTCGACCATCCTGTGGTTCTGTGAAAAGGGGATAAGAAGAGCCCAGGCACGCTCTGTGTCCAGCAGTCTCTTGGTCACACTCTTCTAGACGTGTGTGCTGGTGGTCCTGATGAATTTTCTTTTCATGAATAATTTTACACACTATATCTAGTAGTGCAGTTTAAGAGGAGCTTGGTTTATTGAACAGTTCTGTCCTCTAGCTTCCTAAGAAAATTTAAGATGACCTCTGTGTGAAGGTTTTGTTTATACGTGTGTGAGTTGGTTGATGAGACTGAGGGTAGAAGATGGCTTTGCCATGGTCAGATGTGTATTGCTTACTTAGATAATTTGCTAAGTTCAATTTTTATGAGCGCTGATCTCCTTTGTAAATGATGGATTATTGAAGCATAATCTAAGTGTGGAGAGTTTCCCAGTGCTTTTAAGGAAACTTTGAAAATTTATAATCAAAAGGAGGCTGAGGCAAAGATTATGAGCTTAGATGAACATCTCTTGGGGCACCCAACCCAGTTCTGGTGAGAGTATAATACACTTTAGTTGTATTTGCTGTACCAATACTTGAGGGAAAAAACTTGAAAGATGAAATGATATACACAAATATATATTTTAGCCTTACAAGGAGAAGGGACAGCTGCTTCCTCTTCTAAGCGTTAGTTTTCTGATGACTGTTGGACTTGCAACCTTGGCACCGCTGCATGGACTAGAATCCTTCTGGGCCGCAGAAGGGATCCTGCCCTACGCAGGAGCCGGGACCTGACACGCTGCCAAGGTTACAGATCGCTGAGGAATTTGAACTCCCATTTAGAGCGAGTTGTTGAGAATCACGGAAACCATACACTGATCTCAAGAATAAGCTCTGCATTATGGGTGGAATGTAGAGATGTAAGATGTTGAGAAATGTTGACATAAAACCCTCTTTTTTTTCCCTCGGGATAAAATGAAGTTTGCAGAATTTGCCCATCTAAACCAGACAGAAACAGCCAATATGTAAGAGGTGTGCACAATCAGTGTTATTTTAAATAATTACATCCAAGTTAGCTCTTTATAAATATTACATCTGTTTATACATTGCTGGTTCATATGCATTCTCTTGCTAATGATGTACATAGTGGCCAACTAAGTCATTTGGTCAAAGGGAGGTGAACTCCTCCGAAGGGGACGAGCGCCCTGCGCCCGCCCTCAGCCCCGCCGGGCGCTGCCGCATCCTGCGTGGAGCCGTCGTGGTCTCCTGCTGCGCTGCCGTGTCGGCTGCCGGCCTTTGCGGGGGCCTCTCGCAGCTGCAAGAGGGGTTTCAGGGCCTGGATCCTGCCCGGAGGGTCTGCTACATGGTCGTCTGATGGGGAGCAGCTGCTTCAACAGCCGCTCCTTCGACTTTGGCCCTGTGGCCTCCTTGGCATAAAGCAAATCCAGCAGGCGCTGCTCGGCAGCCCAGGCCCTGGTGAGACGCGTGAGCACTGCCAGTACCATCTGACAGGTGCTTGTAGTCCCGCTGCCCCAAAGCATCCGCGCATCTAGCTAGGGAATCTAGTTGTGTGCAGAAACCCAGTGTTGCAGTGCACGTTCCAAAGAAATTTAATGTTCTAGAGGAAAAAAAATCCTGGAAA